GGCAAAGGCTCTATCTCCTGCATTGATTGTGCTGCATCATGCAGTGCGAGCCTTTCCCTCCCTATCTTCTCTAGCACAGAAGGCTCCTTCTGCTTCTAGGCTTCAATTAACTCATCTGGCTAATAACACTCTGATTTCATAGTTCCTCTCAATAACCCTTCAATCAACTGGGGGGAGGTTTATGTGGCCATGTTAAAAAGAGGATGAGTAGGGTATGAGGGTCTCACTGGGACAACCTGAGAACCCCCATGGGCTATCTCAGCCAATGGCTACAGTAAAGAGCCATCTGGCACATCTGCAGTTCCTCTATAAGGAGTAAGGCAGTCTTACTCAGAGCCGTACCTGAGAGCATGCAGCCACCCCATAGCCTTTTGACATAAAGCTTCTAAAAACTTACCCCTCGCAGCCATGGTAGTGCACACCTTTAATCCCAGCATGCAGGGGGCAGAGGCAGACAGATCTCCATCAGTTTGAGGCCAGCCTGGTCTATATAGTAGACCAGGGGCTACACAGTGAGAGCCTGTTTCAAAACACAAACACAATAACAAAAGAAACTATGTAACTCAACAGCAAGCTACTCTTTCTTCTACTCTGATTCCAGTCAGATCTATGTCATGTAGGGACATTCTTTTCTCCTAAATAGTTTTCCATCTTTCCTCTTATGTCCTTTAGTCCTGGCTCCATCTAGTTCAACTAGTCATCTCTGGCCTGAACTGCTGCAATAGGCCCCAAAGGGTATCTCCATAGCTCTTGTTCTCCACCCTGCAGTCAACACAGTGTTCTCAAAATTCCCCTCTGGATCACTCCACCATTTTGCCCTCTATGTGGAAGATTTCAGTAGTTTCCTGTTACTCTTTAAATAAAGACTTAAGGGGCTACAGAGAAAGTTCAGTGGTTAAGAGCACTGGCTACTCTTGCAGAGGACCCAGGTTTGATCACGGCACCCACATGGCAGCTAACAACCCTCCTTAACTCCAGTTCCATGGGATCTTATGCCCTCTCCTGACCTCTGCAGCATTGCACAACACAGGTACACTTACATACATGTAGCAATACACCCATACACATAAAATAAAAATAATAAATTAAAAATAAATAAATGAAGACTGAAGTCCTTAAAACATCTCACCCTGGCTACATGGCTTTGCCTGATATGGTCCCTGTCAACCTCCACAGCCCTACCTGCCTGTCCCTGCTGATCCCCTGCCTCTCATGCACACCATTCTTCCTCTGCAACTCCAAGGCCAGCCCTGTGATCCTCAGGTGATTTGTCCCTTGTAGTGACATAGACCATCCTCTCCCTAGGGCCATCCAGGACTTACCTCCAAGCCAGAGCAGGCACTTTCATTCAAAAACATGTAGAACTTTAACATGGCCTCACCATGAATGAATGAATGAATGAATGAATGAATGAATGAATGAACTACTATGAACTTGGAATTCATATCTTCAACTAAAACACTTGTTTCTGTGTATGTGCCTGTGCCTGCACATGTGGTCTTGGCTTGGGCAGACCCTGACCCAGGCTGGCTGGTCTGAATCCCAGTGAGACTCTCCAGGGCAGCTCTGTATCAATTACAGGCCATCAATAATGCATCCTTTCAGAGTGGCCTGAAGCCATTAGCTGGGCCTGCAGACCTGGATGCATGGCCTTGAAGAAAGCAGCTGTAGGTACCCATGGGAAGTTCCCATCTGTCTAGGCAAGAGGGCTCCCAGCCTCACAGAGCTCAGTAGGGTTACTTCATGGACCCTCCTTGACCTCCAAGACCGTGTTGCTAGAGAAGTGGCGCCTACCTTTGCCCCCTGCACAAAAAATTTACAAGCCATATTTTCTTACCCTCAGAGACTGCCAGCCTCATTTGAGTGCTGGGTGTTTGCAGTTCAGCATCTGAGTCCAGAGTTAGGACTGTGACTATTGCCAGAATTAGTGCTTAGTTTCTGACCCAGGTTAGGCTTCAGTGTTTAACTAGGACCAGCATCCATGCATGAACAAGGTCATGGCTCAGTGATGACCAGTAATGGAGGCTGTGTATCTTTATTGAGTCTCTTTACTCAGATTGTGACCAGGGCTCAGTCTATGACAGTGTATGTGTGGCTCAGTCTTTGTCTTTGCTTTGGGATAAAATTGGGGCTCAGGCTGTGGCTCAAGTTAGGTCCAGTCTGAAACCATAGAACTGAACAAACTATTTTCATTCATTCATTTATGTAGCAATATCTAGTGAGTGCCTCCTATGTATAGGCAACAGCACAAATAAAGTCCCTGCATCTGCATATATTCTACAGGGTGTCAGGGTTTTGGTGTGCTGGGGCCCTTGCTGCTTGGAAGACCTAATCATGTTCATTTCTCTTAGTTTCCCATGACATTATACTGGCAGTTTGAAATCATCAGGCTATGTGCACTGAAGACACAGGTATACACTACAAATGAAGTGGATTTTGCCCATGTGCCTGTGTGTACGCATGTGTGTTTTATCTTGTTTTAACATGCAAAGTAGTAGGTTTCCTTATGGTATTTTCATAACTACTAGGTTTTTGGTTTTGTTTTTTTAGCAGCACACTTCTGGGGGTAAAAATTACACTAAGAGACAGTCAATAGAAAATGGGGGGAATGGCACATTAGTATCTGATGCTTCTCACACTCCACTAAACAATGGTAAAGGGAGAAGCCAAAAGCATAGGAAATGTTCTACTTAAGTCTCGTAGGTTGGGTCAAAGAGGATAAAGATTTCAAGGGATTTGGGGAAAGTGGAAAAAGTGGTAGCTGATCAAGGAGAATGGAGAATTTATGATTGACGTGCCCACAGAGGGGAAAATGACTAATTCTGCCCTCAGAACCCCCAAGAGTCTGAGAGGAAGGGGATGTGTGAACCTAAGCTCAGGGCAGGGTGTCTGATGAAGGTCTGCACACATGTTTGAAATACTCCCAGTCCTATCTGGCCAAGAGGCCATACTCTCTCCTGAAAGAAGCCACAGGTTTATTCTCTGGAGAAACGGAACCAGAGGCTCTGCACCCAGGCACTGGGTTGGGCAGATGTCTGGGGAGAGAGATACAGGTTTGGTTGAAAACAAGGGTTAAGTTAGAGTCACTCCCCCCAGATAATGGGACCCTTGTTCCATTCCCCTGTCCTGTTCCCATCCAGAGGTATATCATAGATGGAGGCTGAAGAACTCTCTGGAAACCTGAGTGATCCGAGACACAAACATGCAGATACTGACCTTGAGAGTTTCCCAATGCTAGGTTACCACTGGGCCATACCAGTGTTAGTAAATGTTTTCAGTTATGTTTGTGTTCTACTTCCATGAAAATAAAATGAATTAAAAATGAAAATAGACCTGGGGGTGTAACTCCATTGGTAAGTACAGTGCTGGCCTGGCATGTAGGAAGCTCTGAGTTCCATCACCAGCACTGCATAAAACCAGGCACAGGGGCATACTAGCACTCAGAAGCAGATCAGATGCTCAGGGTGAGTTCCAAGTTAGCTAAGACTACTTGAGACCAAGCCTAGAAGAGGGGAGGGGGAAGAGAGGTGGAAAGGGAGGAAGAAGGAAAGATGGGAGGGGGGAGGGAGGGAGGGAGGGAAGGAAGGAAGGAAGGAAGGAAGGAATTTTTCTTTTTTTCTTTTCTGGAGCCGAGGACCGAACCCAGGGTGCTCGATAGGCAGGCACTCTACCACTGAGCTAAATCCCCAACCAACCCCGAATTTTTTTCTTTTTTAAAGAACCGTACCGGATGGGAGGGGGGAGGGAGGGAGGGAGGGAAGGAAGGAAGGAAGGAAGGAAGGATGGATACAAAAGTATCAGAATGCAGTCAGTGTGGTATAGAGAATTCACACAGGCTGCGAGTATGCTGGCTCCCCAGGCAGGGAGATCAGGGAAAAGGAACAGGTCTGGGGAGACAGTGGAGTGCTGTTTTGACCAGGTAAATTGACTGCATGGTGCTATTATGTAGGCATTTCGAGGTGTGAGTTTGCTATTTCAGTAAGGGGCAGGGCTGGAGATATGCCTTTGGGCCTCATGGTCAAAAATACCTTCCAGTGCAGAAAGTATTAACCTGGACAGCAAGCATCCTCACACCTGTGTAGAGAGGTGTACTATGTACTTTGAACACTAGGTGGCAGTGAACATTCTCATTACCGCCTAACCCAGAGGACCCGTCAATGTCTCACCCAGACATCCCAGTGAAATCTGGAGTGTGGACAGCTATCTCAGTCACAGAGCCAAAGGGCATTTGGAAACCTTTCTAAGAATCTTTCCAATAATAATTATACGAACAATATTTGCAGTTTTTACCAAGTCTTCAGAAACAACTGAAGATCTTAAGACATTATAGACAAGGAAATAGAGGCTAGGGAAAATAAAAAGACCTTCTTCCCTAGGTCACATATCCCAGTACTGTCTAGCCAAGAGCCATCTCCCACTCCTTGGGGAAGAGGGAAATGGGTATTGCTGGCAGGCAGATGAGCTGAACCAGTGTGTATGTGAAGTCAGAATGGGCTCTCTAGCTGCTTAAGCAGTCCTGGGGTGGGGGTGGGGGTGGGGGTCTCCTGACTTCCATCAAGAACCAGTATGAAAGTAAGCACCAGTATGAGGTACCTGAATAGGGCTTTCCTTTTATCAAGCATTCCGTGGGGGTGCACAAATGGCTAGAGTTTAATTCAAATCCAGATTTCCTGCTTGTCTGTCCAGTGGTCTTCCTACAAACTACAGTTGTCTTTCCTCTCCTCAGCCATCTATGCACAGTGGGGCCTGAAGACACAGTATGTGAAACATAGGGTCCCACTTACTGTTGGGAAAAGAGCCCATGAACCCCAAGAAGCAATTGTGCTTAGTGCTGCTGAGACAGTCCAAGGAGTGCAGTATCCAGTCTCTGAGGATGCAGACTTTTTCTCCCCATGTCCTAGTCTATCCAGGTGCAAAGCTCCCTGTCATGCTGCAGGTCCTCTGTCCCTCCCAGCCCGTCCCCACAAGCATACCTACCCCTGTCCTTCTGCCTCTTGCAGTTTGAGATCCGGCAGCTGCGTGCACACCTGGCACAGCAGGACCTGGACCTGGCTGCAGAGCGGGAGGCGGCTCTGCAGGCCCCACATGTGCTCAGCCAACCACGCAGCCGCTTCAAGGTCGTGGAGGCCAGCACCTGGGATGAGGAGACCGCAACAGAAAGCGTGCTGGAGGAGCTGAGGCCTTCTCAAGGTAAGCCTGCCCGTTTCTAGGTCCCAGGGCATCCCTTCCCTCACCCCAAGGCTCTGCGCACAGAAGCTGGAACACAGGGTTCCTAGAGCTGAGGCGGCTCCCTGCGGGACTGTGCCCTTGTGCTGCCCCTGAGCTGCCTGCTGCAGCGCTCACAGTGACTTCAGCGCTACCTTTCACAGTTGACAAGTCAGGAGATCTTTACCCAAATTATCCTAGATGCAGGGATGCTATCCAAAGACCCACCATGGTAAATAAAATGGTTGTTGGTTGTCTTGTTGATGCGACAAAATGCCTGACCAAATCAACTTAAGGAAGGAGTTTCTGTTTCACAGTTGGAGGGTACAGTCCCTCATACAGGGAAAACATGGCAAGAGCAGGAGGCAGCTGGTCACAGGCAACTCCAGTCAGGAACCAGAGAATAGTGAGAGCTGGTACTCAGCTTACCTTCTCCTTTTTTATTCAGTCTGGAGCCCCAACCCATGGAATGGTGCCACCCAGGTTAGGATTGTCCTCCAACCTCAATTAACCTAACCTAGAAACTATCACAGATGTACCCAGAAGCCACTTGGCTCTATTGCTTTGGGCCTTTGGCAAAGTAGATCAGGTGTGGTGGAGTAGAGCTGCTTACCTCACGGTGGCCAGGAAACTAGGGAGAAAATAAACTCTTCAAGGGCATGTCCCAGTGACCTACTTCCTCCAGGTAGGTCCCACCACTGAAGCTTCCACTTAAGCTATGAATCCATAAATGGATTAAAGCACTGATACGGTCAAAGTCCTCATGATCCAGCTCTGAACACAGCTTCAACACATGAGATTTGAGAGACATTTCAGAGCCAAATTACAACAGGCTGTGAACCAGGGTGAACAGGTCTGTGAGGGGAATGGAGATTTCATTAGACCATAGACTCTAGGAGCTAGAACAGACTGCTGAGCACATATAACTCCTTGTTGAGACACAGTGACACTTCAGCCTCCTAAATTTGATCTCCCTGGGCAGCCCCCCTTCAAACAGTTTTGCTGCCAAGATTATTACTCAGACTGAGCAGAGGCCTACCCTGCCTTCCAAACTTGCTGTTATTTTTATGGACAGGTAGGTGTTCTAGGTATGACATCTCAGACACTGAGTAAGTTTCTCCTCCAGGTCAGGTGACCTGCATTCTCATGGCCAATCCCCAGGGGACAAACGTGCCAGATTCTCACTCTCCTGATCTCTGTGGGTTTGGGCTCCCCTCAGAGTATCACCCAGAACTGAACTGAGGAGAAGCAAGTCCAGGACCAAGTGCCAAGTGGCCACTCTTGTCTTTTGCTCTGGCTTTAGGACCCCTCTGATACTGTTGAAAGGCTCAAGAGCCTTGTGGCCTCATGGTGTGAGCTCCCAACTGCTTCAGACCACAGTTTCCCACATAGCTCTGCACCCACGGCTCCTCCCTGGACACTTGGCTTTCTGTTCTCCCATGTAGAACTTTGTTTTCAGCTGTAGCTTGTTTGAGACCTGCCTCTACCCCCAGGGCTTTGTAGATCCTGATTCACAATCCACCACAGTTCCTGATGGGTTTACTCTCTGCCTATATCTTAGAATATTCTCCTTCTTCGTCACTCAGCCTTCATTACTTCTGAATCGTACCAGACTCCCTGACCTCAACTTTGCCCCATAGGTGCCTCTTGTAGTCTCCCTCCACCAGTATACAGTGACTTTCCAAAATCTTTCATGTCAGTTCCTGACTTGACACCTTAACTGGTTCCCTGTGTTCTCTCTGGAAAATACCCAAGTTCCTTAGAGTGGTGTTGTCATTTGCTAGGCTCCTATAACAAAATGCCACAAACTGAGTGACTTAAGTAACAGAAATTGCCTCACAGTTCTGGATGCTGGAAGTCTGAGATCAGGATGTTGGTCCCTCTGGGTGCTATGATGGAGAACCTGTTCTTGCCTCTCCCCTGGCTCCTGGTGGTTGCTGGCAATCCTTAGCACTCCTCAGCTTGTGGAAGCATCCCTCAATATCTGTCTTCATCTTCACATGTTGTCTCCCTGTGTGTCTCTATCTAAATCCTCCATTTCTGTAGGCCCATCATACTCTAATAGGACCTCATCTTGGCTAATTACATCTGCATCTACCTTGTTTCCAAAGAAGTTTATATCCTGGTACCAGGATACTTCATCATAAACATTTGGGAAGGACATGGTTATTCAGTCCACAACAAGCAGCATATGCGACCCTGGCAGAGCGTGCCCCTGGCTCCTCTGCAGGCCTCACCTCCTCACTCCGTCTTGCCTTTCACCCGAGTGGAACAAGGCAGCCTTCAGTTCAGTGCTCCTTGCAGTCATAGGTCTGAGCCTTTCCACACATGGTTTGTTGGATGGCCTGGCCTGTCTTCTGGATTTCTCTTCACCCTTGTAAACCCTGTTCGAATGAGCTCCCAACCACCACCACACACTCCGCTGGAGACCTCACAGAAACTCACTTGCCACCGGGCCCGCATGCACCAGCTGCCTGGCCTTCCCACTGAGTGTCTTTCCACCAGGCTCGGGTATCTCCAATGCGTGCCCAGGCTGGATCTCAGCAGCTTTCCACATGTCCTACTTAGCTTTCTATTGCTGTGATAAAACATTCTGACCAAAACCAACTTGAGGAGAAAAGGGCTTGTTTGGTGTAGACCTCCTGATCACAATTCATCCTTGAGGGAAGCCAGGGCAGGAATTCAAGGCAGGAGCCGGGAGGCAGCAACCGAAGCAAGGAACACAAAGGAACACTGCTTACTGGCTTGCTCCTCTGGCCTGTGCTCAGCCTGCTTTTTTATATAAACCAGGATCACCTGCCCAAAGGCAGTACCACCTATGGTGGGCTGGACCCTCTCACATCACTCAACACTCAAGAAAATGCCTCACAGACATGCCCACAGGCCAGTATGATGAAGGAAATTCGTCAATTGAAGTTCCTTCTTCCCATCTTTATCAAGTTGACAACTGAAACTATCCAGCACACCATAGTTGCTGCATGGACTATAATCTAAAAAGTCATAACTGATCATAAACATTACTAGTTCTTTTGTGGGTCCCTGCAGCATCTGGGGAGGCCAGCTGGCTGTGGCCTGCTCTAGAAACTTTGCTGCTGACTTTCAGCCAGTTCAGACTGGGGCTGGTGGGAACCCCTTCTTGCTCTTTTTCAAAGTTCTGCTTTTGCCCCCTTAGTTGGCTTCCTGGGGATGGTAGAAACTGGTCACATCCTGGAGTCCTAGGGATCTTCCTTCTGAATGGATCAGAGAAGCACTAGACATTGTTGAGGCTCATGGGAACTTGGCTCTAGACTCCAAGCACTGCCAGTAATCTGCAGCCCCTCCCTACCTCTCTCATCAGGGTCTTTAACACTACAGTGGGGGTGTTGATGCTTCTCAGCCAGTAACCTACAGACCCTGGCATTGGAGGCGATATTTAGACCCATAGCAAGCTAAAATTTGGGCCTGGAGGATTTGCGAACCAGCCAAGTCTTTCAGATAACCCTACACATTCTAGGAGAACTGGGAAGCTTTCAGTCCCTGCCTGTCCATCCCTCTCCTCTCTGTGGACCCCAGAGTGGGCAACTTCCATAGAAGAAGGAAGGGAGAGGCAGGGCAAGGAGAAAGCTGGATCAGAGGCAAAGCTCACTCAGTAAACTAGCCAGGTGTCTTGGATTCTGTGATGACTCCCTCTTACCAGCCTGGACACTGGGGAGGAGGGGAGATCCTAGATAAAGCAGGCTCACAGAAGTGCTTCTTTTAGTGGGAGATACCAAACATAGACCTCCTGGAAGCCTTTGCAAATGCCCTGCCCAGTCTTGGAACCAGGACCCTGCTCCATAAGTTACCTCTGTGGCATCCTCAGATCTCTCTCTCTCCCTCCCTCCCTCCCTCTCTCCATGCACACCTACCCTCATGTCGCAGCCACTCCCACATAATGCATTCCCCATCTGCAGTTTCACCAGTCCTGAGTCCTCAGTGGCATAGCCACTGCCTCTGAAGCAGAGGGCAGAAGCAGGGGCTGTAAGAGGCTTCTATGATTCATGGCGCAGAGGAGTCCAGGGACACAGGGCATCCCCCAGCTGATTTCTCTCTGACCAGGAGTCATGTCCAGGGTGGACTTTCCATGTCATTAGAAATTATAGTCAGACAAGTGAAAGATGTTTCTGGGCTACTCTGGAGATTAAGAAAGGGCAGCATTTGTTGGTAACTCTGACTCCCAGGCTAGTAGGACTCGGAGGCCCTCTGTATGCACAATAGGACTCAGAAAACCTAGGCGTTAGCCTGCAGATATAGCAGTGAGTCACAGGAGCCTTGGGACGTGGCCAGCATCACCCCTGCATGGCTGTCACTCCTCAGGAGGGGGAGGGCTGCCCAGGAGGGCAAGAGTGCCAACCCCAGCACCAGCCCCAGCTCAGCCTTATCCCTGTGGGGAGGAAGAAGTTCCCACAGTTGCCAGCAGGTCACAGTCTGACAATGCCTACCAGCTTCTGTTTAGACTTGCTCTAGCACAAATCATTTTTAAAACCTGGGCTGCAAAGTTCCAGGCTTTGGGTCCTGCCAAGTTCATGGTGCCCCTGTGTAGCCATTAATACTTCTTTCCCAAATTTATTAGTCTTGACGCTCACCCATAACTTATGAATTACAGCTCCTGGTAGGAGTGCCACAAATTTTACCATATATCACAGCAAATTTTGGCATCCCCCATGCTGCACCAGCGTCCAGAGAAACAGTCACAGAGGTGCCTCTGGCCAGCCTACCCCTGGCCCTCCTGGCAGGGAGTTGAGTTGGCTTTGTCCTTGGAGGGCACAGGGCCTGTGTTTTCCTGGAGGCCAAGTGCCCCCTGGCCCCAAGTGTATGTTCCTGATAAAGGTGCTGGGGACTCTAGGAGCCCCCGAGCTTATAGGACCAGATCTTGGAAAGCTTCACACAGAGTGACATTTGAAATAACCTGACCAGAAGGAGTTCAGGACTCAGGTCTGGCTTTGAATTTCAACTCAGCCTTGAACAGGTCACTCAGCCTCCCTGAGCAAGGTGGTCACATAGAACCCTGGGATTCCAGGCCCTGCTGTCACCCTCCTAAAATTCTTAGGTTTTTTGAGCAACAGGCCTTTAAGTTCAGCAGCTGGTCTGGTCACAGAGCTTCAGTGTTTCCAGAATAAGAATGAAACAGAAGTTCTCCACTGAGAAAACTTGGGGGTTCCGTTGTATACACCACTGTCATGGTGGCATATAGCAGGTGCTCTAGTGAGGGCTGCCGAGCCACAGAGCAGCAAGAGGAAGTGTAGGAATAGCAGCACCCACTCCCTGACTCTGAGCTGTGTGTCTTCATGGGCAGTCAGGCATTTTTGCCACTCAGCCACACAGAGCTTGGCCATCCCACCACTCAGGAGGTCCACCCAGCCAACTCATCATCACCGTTCTCTCTAGCTCTACCTCAATGAGCAGGTCAGGACCTCTGCCCAAGGGATAGAATTCATGTTATAAACTGTTCTCAGAGGGCTTTCAGAGATGAATTGGTGAGGAAGCAGAAGCGCAGAGTGGCTGAGAGCCACACAGTAAGTGTCCTGCACAGCACCCTAGACTGATTTCTTCTGAAGTCTGCATCTGCATGTCCTCTTTCCAGCCCCTCTATGCTCTGCAAGGCTCAATCCTCTGTGAGTTGCCTCCACACATCTCTAAGGCTCCTCAGTTCTAAATCAAAACAAACCTTGGGGGAGGGGCTTATTCTTAGACTAAAGGTGGCCAGTGCCTTGTAAAACTAGCTGTGTGGTCTGGGTGCCCCTTTGTCCCACACCCCCAACTTCCTACCAGTCATTAGTCTCTTGTTAGAAGTGTCGGGGAGATTGTGGCTGTAGGCTGGGCAGCTAGAGAGCACTTCATGACAGCCCTGTGGCCTCTTGAGAGGGAGTGGGATGCTGGGGAGGTCCTTCAGACTTCTGTCCTGGCCACAGTCTTCTGTCCAGGCCTCTGTCATGGCACTTGGCATAAGCCTTCACTGAGGAGGCTGAGTGAAATGCAGCTCCTGTCCTCAAAGGCTCTGAGACCCTTGATGGGGACAGAGGCTCAGCCCCAGGGGCCAATTCTAGAAGGGGATCCAGGGGTCTCCCTGAAGTAAGTAGAGCTAGTGTCAGCACTAGAGGAGTCTGGGTAGGCCTCATTATCAGCCTCAGACGTGGGGAGGAAATGTACCCAGTGTCCACTTTGGGGACCAGGTTTGGTGTCCAACATACTCAGAGAGCAAGTGATTCCATTCATTAAATCTTCTGGTAGGTCAAAGCCCAGAGGAGACACCACCTAGTCTCACTGAAGGCTAGATGCAGGGCCATGACAGAGGGACCATGGGTCCCTTGACCAGTCACACACATGGTGGGAGTTGGGGTGTTGGTGAAGGAAAGTGAGAAGGTGCTGGAAAGTGATTTGGATCTCTGCCAGGATGCAGAAACCACTCACCAAAGTGGAGGTTAGGACTGGGGAAAGGAGAACTCAAATTCTATTTTGGACTTGTTGAGTCACAGGGAGCTGGAGGTCATCCAGGAGTTGTCCGGAGATAGTTGGCCAGACAAGTCAGCGCTCAGAAGAGAGGTCTGGACTGAAGGTCACCTGGCTGAGGTTATTTTTATTAACAGCTTGAAGATGTGAGCATCCTCAAATGCTTAGGCAATCGAGAGAGGGGAGAGGGTCTGGGCACCTTGGCGGCTGAGACTCAGGATACCTGTAGCAGGCTACTCAGAAGGCTATAGTTCTGGGCTACCACCACCCAGCCCATGTTTGGAATGGTGGGTGAGAAGCCTGTGTGGGGGTTACAGGAGTGCATTGCATTGATGGCGCAGCCCATATTTATGCCTGCAGAGGAGAGTGGGGCATCTGCTGGCCAAGAGCTTGATGGGAGTCTGCAGAACTAAACACATTTACAGAGCATTAGACCTCTTTAGGGGAATGATTTTTCCAATCTTAGAAGGACAAGTCTATTAAATAAGCAAGTCTGACAGGACAGTGGTGAGGATTATGGATACTTGTGTCAGTTGTTGGAGTAGCTGCAGCTTTGCAGGGCAGGAGGTATAAACACTAGCTCCCTGCCTGCCTCTTCCTATCCCAGCCCCACCTGGAGGATTATTACAGAAGCTCATCAGAGAGATGGGAGCTCCCTCCCCAGAGGAGGACGGCCTGCAGAGGGGCCTGAGCAGAAAGTGACTCCTGCTTTGGACCATCTCCCTGCTCCCTGTCACTTTTTGGGGTTTCATGGTCATCTAGCCCAGCTATATCACCGTCTGTAAGAACAGTGCTGGGGTTCTCATGTTACAAGTGAAGAAACTGTCTGGGAGTGATGGTGCACGCCTTTAATCCCAGCACTCAGGAGGCAGAGGCAAGCGAATCTCTGAGTGTGAAGCCAGGCTGGTCTACATAATGAGTACTAAGAATACTTAGTGAGACCCTGTCTCAAAAAAAAAAAAGAGAGAAAAGAGAAAAGCAAGCAAGCAAG